GTCCAGAACTTCTGTCCAACGACAGCCTAAGTTCTGCATAACGCACAGCAGCATAATGCCCATTAAATCCCCAGGAGCAGCTGCCTCGTGCTACGTTCAGACAGCAAGCAGCAGAAGCAGCTGGTTGCCATGCAGAGTCAATGGTTGACACGCATCAAGGCGCAGCAACAGGCCCTGCAGCATCTAGAGCAGCAGAAGCAGCTGGTTTACATGCAGTCAATGGTTGACACGCATCAAGGCGCAGAAAAAGGCCCTGCAGCATCTAGAGCAGCAGAAGCAGCTGGTTTACATGCAGTCAATGGTTGACACGCATCAAGGCGCAGAAAAAGGCCCTGCAGCATCTAGAGCAGCAGGAACAGCGCATCATGAGCTTCTGAGCATCTGAGGCGAACAACATTACATCTAGTTCACTGCACTAGTACACTACACTAGTACACTACACCTAGTACACTACATCTAGTACACTACACCTAGTACACTACACTAGTACACTACACCTAGTACACTACACTAGTACACTACACCTAGTACACTACATCTAGTACACTACACTAGTACACTACACTAGTACACTACACTAGTACACTACACCTAGTACACTACATCTAGTACACTACACCTAGTACACTACACTAGTACACTACACTAGTACACTACACCTAGTTCACTGCACTAGTACACTACACTATTACACTACACTAGTACACTACACTAGTACACTACACCTAGTACACTACACTAGTACACTACACCTAGTTCACTGCACTAGTACACTACACTAGTACACTACACTAGTACACTACACTAGTACACTACACCTAGTACACTACACTAGTACACTACACTAGTACACTACACTAGTACACTACACCTAGTTCACTGCACTAGTACACTACACTAGTACACTACACTAGTACACTACACTAGTACACTACACCTAGTACACTACACTAGTACACTACACTAGTACACTACATCTAGTACAGTATACCTAGTAAACTACACTAGTACACTACACCTAGTACACTACACTTAGTACACTACATCTAGTATAGTTCACCTAGTACAATACCATAGTACACTACACCTAGTACACTACTTCTAGTGTGCTACATCTAGTACACTACATTAGTACACTACACCTAGTACACTACACCTAGTGCGCTACATCTAGTACACTACATCTAGTAAAGTAGACCTAGTACACTACACCTAGTACACTACATCTAGTACACTACATCTAGTACAGTACACCTAGTAAACTACACTTGTACACTAGACTAGTACACTACACCTAGTACACTACACTAGTACACTACATCTAGTACAGTACACCTAGTAAACTACACTAGTACACTACACCTAGTACACTACACCTAGTACACTACTTCTAGTGCACTACATCTAGTACAGTACACCTAGTAAACTACACTTGTACACTAGACTAGTACACTACACCTAGTACACTACACTAGTACACTACATCTAGTACAGTACACCTAGTAAACTACACTAGTACACTACACCTAGTACACTACACTTAGTACACTACATCTAGTATAGTTCACCTAGTACAATACAATAGTACACTACACCTAGTACACTACTTCTAGTGTGCTACATCTAGTACACTACAATAGTACACTACATCTAGTACACTACACCTAGTGCGCTACATCTAGTACACTACATCTAGTAAAGTAGACCTAGTACACTACACCTAGTACACTACATCTAGTACACTACATCTAGTACAGTACACCTAGTAAACTACACTTGTACACTAGACTAGTACACTACACCTAGTACACTACACTAGTACACTACATCTAGTACAGTACACCTAGTAAACTACACTAGTACACTACACCTAGTACACTACACCTAGTACACTACTTCTAGTGCACTACATCTAGTACACTACAATAGTAAACTACACCTAGAACCCTACACTAGTACAGTACACCTAGTACACTACATCTAACACACTACTTCTAGTACACTACTTCTAGTGCACTACATCTAGTACACTACAATAGTAAACTACACCTAGCACCCTACACTAGTACAGTACACCTAGTACACTACATCTAACACACTACTTCTAGTACACCACATCTAGTTCACTACACCTAGTACACTACACTAGTACACTACACCTAGTACACTACATCTAGTACACTACACTTAGTACAGTACATTAAGTACACCACATCTAGTTCACTACACCTAGTACACTACACTAGTACACCACACTAGTACACTACACCTAGTACACTACACTAGTACACTACACCTAGTACACTGCACTAGTACAGTACATTTAGTACACTACACTAGTACCCTACTCCTAGTACACTACACTTAGTACAGTACATTAAGTACACCACATCTAGTTCACTACACCTAGTACACTACACTAGTACACCACACTAGTACACTACACCTAGTACACTACACTAGTACACTACACCTAGTACACTGCGCTAGTACAGTACATTTAGTACACTACACTAGTACCCTACGCATAGTACACTACACTTAGTACAGTACATTAAGTACACCACATCTAGTTCACTACACCTAGAACACTACACTACACTACACTAGTACTACACTAGTACCCTACGCATAGTACACTACACTTAGTACACTACAGTTAGTATACTACACTAGTACACTATCCCTAGTACACTACACTAGTACAGTACATTTAGTACACCACATCTAGTTCACTACACCTAGTACTCTACACTAGTACACTACACCTAGTACACTACACTAGTACACTACCCCAAGTACACTACACTAGTACAGTACATTTAGTACACCACATCTAGATCACTACATCTAGTACACTACACCTATTGCACAACATCTAGTACACTACATCTAGTACACTACACCCAGTACACTACCTCTAATACACTGCCACTAGTACAGTACACCTAGTACACTACACCTAGTACACTACATCTAGTACACTACACCTAGTACACTACATCTAGTACACTACATCTAGTACACTACACCTAGTACACTACATCTAGTACACTACATCTAGTACACTACACCTAATACAGTACATTTAGTACACCACATCTAGTTCACTACATCTAGTACACTACACCTAGTGCACTACATCTAGTACACTACACCCAGTACACTACCTCTAATACACTACCACTAGTACAGTACACCTAGTACACTACACCTAGTACACTACATCTAGTACACTACACCTAGTACACTACATCTAGTACACTACATCTAGTACACTACACCTAGTACACTACATCTAGTACACTACATCTAGTACACTACACCTAATATAGTACATTTAGTACACCACATCTAGTTCACTACATCTAGTACACTACACCTAGTGCACTACATCTAGTACACTACACCCAGTACACTACCTCTAATACACTACCACTAGTACAGTACACCTAGTACACTACACTAGTACACTACACCTAGTACACTACACTAGTACACTACCCCAAGTACACTACACTAGTACAGTACATTTAGTACACCACATCTAGATCACTACATCTAGTACACTACACCTAGTGCACTACATCTAGTACACTACATCTAGTACACTACACCCAGTACACTACCTCTAATACACTACCACTAGTACAGTACACCTAGTACACTACACCTAGTGCACTACATCTAGTACACTACACCTAGTACACTACATCTAGTACACTACATCTAGTACACTACACCTAATACAGTACATTTAGTACACCACATCTAGTACACTACACCTAATACAGTACATTTAGTACACCACATCTAGTACACTACACATAGTGCACTACATCTAGTACACTACATCTAGTACACTACACCCAGTACACTACCTCTAATACACTACCACTAGTACAGTACACCTAGTACACTACACCTAGTACACTACATCTAGTACACTACATCTAGTACACTACACTAGTACAGTACATTTAGTACACCACATCTAGTTCACAACATTTAGTACACTACACCTAGTTCACTACATCTAGTATGCTACATCTAGTACACTACACCTAGTACACTACACTAGTACACTACACTAGTACAGTACATTTAGTACACCACATCTAGTTCACTACATCTAGTACACTACAACTAGTACACTACACCCAGTACACTACCTCTAATACACTACCACTACTACACTACATCTGGTACACTACACCTAGTACACTAAATCAAGTACACTACAATAGTACACTACACCTAGTACACTACCTCAAATACTCTACCATTAGTACACTACATCTAGTTCACTACATTTAGTACAAGACTGTTAGATCTGGTTTGTGTTAACAGCCAGAGATGATGTGTTTTACATCATGCACCACCATTTGATGGCTCGCTAACTTACCAATCCAGAACTTTTGTATTGAAGGAATGAGGCTTCTGCTCACCTGCTGGATTAAAAGCAGCTCTTATAGGCAACCTCTAAGCAAGTACCTAGCATACTTTTCATAAGGCTCATAAATGTTTTTTATAAATCTGATGTAATGTTCTAATCTTGAAATGCTGTGTTTGTATCATCTGTACATTGAAATTCACCACGATGAACAGAAATAAAGGCCTGAAATCTTCAGTCTGCATGTAATTAATCTGTAATCTGTCTAATCTACTGAATAGCATTAAGGCTAAGAGTTAAAGCAGTCGTTTAGATAAAGGGGTGACAAAAGAAAAAAGTTCAGTTACCTTCTGCTTAAGGACTTAGGAGTGTCACAACAATCTGCACCGATGGCTGGTGGGTTTTATTGTGAAGTATAAGCTGGTAGTACTCTAAGCTGTGTCACATATAGAGAGGCTCTAGCTACTCCTAAGAAGCTTTGCTTAGAATAAGAGACTAAAAGGCTCAGCATTATTCACACTTTTTAACGTTTCTCTCCTTTCTGTTTTCTAATCTAACTGCCATTCTCTGAAACTCGTGCCCGCCTCTGTATTTGCACGTTCACTAGTCTGGCAGCGCTTTGGCACGCTGGCAGGAACGGGCGCTGCGCCGGGTGTCCAGGAGCCGCGTGTGCTGGAGACTTCTGTCCGTGTGCTGGACGGGCGCACGGCGCTCCCCCCCACCTCTGGGTGCCAGTGGATCTGAGGAGGGCCTAGTGAGAATCCGGGTCAGCACGGCGAAGCCTGGGGCCCAGTTTAACAATATACAGTGGTTCCTCCTTCATGCCATGTGGCTACAGGGTCCGGTCCCGGTGCTTTCTCCGTATGCCATGAAGGTTCTGTATATCGTCATTAAGCCCAGATTGGGCCCCAAACGGGTTTAAAGACGGTAGAGCTTTAACACAGGTTAGCTGGACTAAGCTGTTGTTGAGAGAAGAGTTTGGCCTTCTCTGACTCTAAGCAGTGACCTGATCTGATCTACATCCCCATGATCACCTGAGACCAAAATAAAACAACTCATTTCCAACGGTTACGCAATCCTTTCTCCAACAGTCAGACCTCGTTTCGTTTCCTTTTAGAAACATGAAAAATAGGACAATTAACTACAGCTATTATGCTTTTAAATAGACTAAAGGCTTAACCCCTTGAATCTGAATTGATATACATGGACATATAAAAATAAATTTTGTTCCTTTTGAGGTGATGCAAAAACTCTGGCGGCTGTTTGCCTACACTGCAAAAATGTTCTGAAAATGGTGTAAAAATGTCTTAAAATATGCATATTTACCCTCAATATTACGAGGAAAATAAGACGATCATCCAATGGAATGAACAATTTTACCCTTAAAACAAGATAATTAGATATTATGGACCTGAAATGAGTAGTTATATGCATTTATTTTGTTTTTATTTCTTATTCCTTCTTATTCTCTCTTCTCACCTGCTCAATTCAAGAAAAAAAATGCTGTTATTTTAAGAGAAAATGTCTAACTTAGATTTACATTTTTTGCAGTGTAATACAAGTTTTTTGTTGCTTATTAGCAACATCAGGCATCAAAGGGTTAAATGTAGAAAGCTTATTTATCAGGGTTCCTGTGGATCCTTAAAAAGTCTTGAAAGGCATTGAATTCTTCAATATAAAACTAAGGCCTTAATTGGTATTAAAAGGTCTTAAATCAGTCTTTCATAGGTCTTAAAATTGTTACCACGTCATTGAAGGATTTTAGTTTAAACATTGAAATAGTTTACAATATTTTTATTTATGTTTTTACATTTACCAGGAATCAAAGCAGTGGAGTCACACGTGCGAAGCGTGAAAAACAAAGTGTCAAATTCTAGTGACCGAAAAGCAGCAGGTATTTATGCGATAAATGCTGAAAAAATGGGATTTCCTTTAATTGAGTTTGATCCGGTTCCAGATACGCGTAGCTGAATTACTGTCCGTAGTTGAAGCGCCTGCACTACCTGGCAAAATGTGTTTAATCCTAAAAACTTTTCCACATGTCCCAATCTCGACTGGAATCTAAAAGGGACAACCAAAAATTAGGGTGATGGCATGGAGGCCTTCAGACCTCAGGGGATTGGAGCTTAAAATGATAAATTATTATAGAATTTGTGAAGCAAAATTAAAAGATTATTTTTGAGAAGCATTTTTTTAATCACATATATTTGAGCTTCCCGGGACGTTGTATAAACTCTATAGAAAACACGTGAGATTCGAGACAAATGCCATGTGAAAATACAAGTGTTATAATTTATTATTATTCTAATCAGTGTATAATTAAAATGACCACTGTTGGTCCATGAAAACAGCAGCCATGTTTTTATTCACAGAATTAAAACAAATACAGAATAAAACAAAAATGAATCTGATTGTCTTGTTTCCATGTGATCAGAATAAGATCGATTAAACTAAACGCGGAACAAGCAGAGCAGAATATGCAGAACTCCTCTAGACCAGAGTTCACCAACCGTGGGTACCAAGGGGCCCTCAGGGGCCCTAATGGGGGGGGGGGGGGGGGGGGGGCACAGCATCATGAAAACAGCACAACCCAACAGTGGACTAAGACTGAGATTTAGATTTTATTCTGTTGCTCTTTTTAATCATTTATAGAGAATCTCATCATTTCATTCATACAGATTATTTATAAAAGTTTCGAAATGACAATTAAAAGAGACAATTAGGAGTTAAAAAGAAACAATAAAACAGTGTTTATTATGTATGAAGTTAAAATGAACCCTGATCCTTCCTTCCTTAAACATAGCTGGTGGAATTCACTCAAACCAGGCTGATAAACCAGGAGGTGACAGATGCTGCGTTTCAGAGAATATCCAAACTTTCCGTTTAGAACAATGAAGGAATTTTAAAGAAGCACAATAAACAGCAGCTTAGTTCCGTCTGTATAGATGTAATTAATGTCCACTGTCCTACATGTCCACCCACTCTAGTGTCTCCTAGATGGCTTGGCTGGCTGAGCTGCCCCACAGTAATAATCTAACCTCCTCGCTGATCCATCATGGAGGCTCCATCTCAGCAGCTCTGTAGCTCCTCCTCTGCTCCTCCTCCTCATTAGACTGAATAGCACATCACAGAATCTTAATCCATCCATGGCGTTCGATCGGCCCGTGGCTGTGAGATCGCCGCCAGAACCCTGTTGGCGTTGTTCCGATCGGGACGAGTGACGTGAAGGAAAGGAGCCAAACTCAGGCTGCTGCTGAGATGTTGAGCTGGGGAGTAGATTTATGGATAAGAAACGCTCTGCTTATGTCCACCTGTCATCCAGCCGTCATCACAACTTCATGCAAACTTTATTTCTATGACGAGTAGAGCTGCTGGTCAGACGGTTGCAGCTACCAAAGAGACACATATTCAATTCTATTCAGTTTATTTCTATAGCTCCAATTCACATCATGTCATCTCAGGTCACTTTCCAGTTCACCAGATCATCCAGTCAGATTGATTCAAAGTTTTCTATCTAAGGAAAACCAGCTGATTGCATCGACTCATTGACTCTTCAGCAATCCCTCACACTAAGCATGCTTGTAGCGACAGTGGAGAGGAAAAACTCCCTTTGAACAGGAAGAAACCTCCAGCAGAACCAGGCTCAGTGTGAGCGGCCATCTGCTGAGGCCCACTGGGGTTCAAGGAGACAGAAGCAGACATAGAAAAAGAAGCATAGATACAAAAGGCAACTGTCAACCAGCTCCACAGGCGGCCCCGTCCAGGAAACACACAGCCAGGCAGACGAGCTCCGAGCCAGCTCCCATGTCAGAGGATGAAGAGAGCACATCCAGTTAGTCACAGTCAGAGAAACAGGACTACACTGGAAAACAGGCCAAGCTCCAACATCTAGAAACAAAGGTGTTGATGGCAGCAGCACAGCTGATATTTCTCTCCAGGATGGAGTCACAGCCAAACAGGAACAGACCAGATGAAGCTACTATGAGAGAGCAGAACGTTAGAGATGTTTTCCACCTTGACTGGCGGCCATATGTAAAAGTGCTGATGCAGGCGTCCACAGAGTAGCTGCTGGCTGGGGTTCCACTTCCTCCATTCTGGCCTGGAGAGAGGGCTGTTGCCTGGGCATTCCCTCTGACAGCAGCTCCCTCCTCCTCCATGCAGGCGGAGGGCATCCCGTTGACAGCATCGGTTCTTGGCCTGCAGCCCGTTTGGCTCAGCGGCGTGCCTCACACATCACAGCACGGCAAGGATATCATCTTCCTGTTTGTAGACGCTAGCTCTGCTCTACGTCTGGAGCTTCTTCGGCTCCTCTAGTAAACACGTGACACGAAGCAGCGCAGCTTCCACCATCATCAGAGAAACACGACGACAGGGAGGGCAGCTCTAGGGACACAAACCGACACCAAAACATTCCCAAAACATTCTCTTCTGTTAGATTATTACAGTTTACTGTAGCATCCATCCATCCATCATCCATCCATCATCCATCCATCCATCATCCATCCATCATCCATCCATCCATCATCCATCCATCCATCATCCATCCATCCATCCATCATCCATCCATCCATCATCCATCCATCCATCCATCATCCATCCATCATCCATCCATCATCCATCCATCCATCATCCATCCATCCATCCATCATCCATCCATCATCCATCCATCATCCATCCATCATCCATCCATCCATCCATCATCCATCCATCCATCCATCATCCATCCATCATCCATCCATCCATCATCCATCCATCCATCATCCATCCATCCATCATCCATCCATCATCCATCCATCATCCATCCATCCATCATCCATCCATCATCCATCTATCCATCCATCATCCATCCATCATCCATCCATCCATCATCCATCATCCATCCATCATCCATCCATCATCCATCCATTCATCCATCATCCATCCATCCATCATCCATCCATCCATCCATCCATCCATCATCCATCCATCATCCATCCATTCATCCATCATCCATCCATCCATCCATCATCCATCCATCCATCCGTCATCCATCCATCCGTCATCCATCCATCCATCCATCATCCATCCATCCATCCGTCATCCATCCATCCATCATCCATCCATCCATCCGTCATCCATCCATCCGTCATCCATCCATCCATCATCCATCCATCCATCCATCATCCATCCATCATCCATCCATCATCCATCCATCCATCCATCCATCATCCATCCATCCATCCATCCATCATCCATCCATCATCCATCCATCCATCCATCCATCCATCATCCATCATCCATCCATCATCCATCCATCATCCATCCATTCATCCATCATCCATCCATCCATCCATCCATCATCCATCCATCCATCATCCATCCATCCATCCATCCATCCATCCATCCATCCATCCATCATCCATCCATCATCCATCCATTCATCCATCATCCATCCATCCATCCATCCATCATCCATCCATCCATCCGTCATCCATCCATCCGTCATCCATCCATCCATCCATCATCCATCCATCCATCATCCATCCATCATCCATCCATCCATCCATCATCCATCCATCATCCATCCATCATCCATCCATCATCCATCCATCCATCCATCATCCATCCATCATCCATCCATCCATCCATCCATCATCCATCCATCATCCATCCATCCATCCATCCATCCATCATCCATCCATCATCCATCCATCATCCATCCATCCATCCATTCATCATCCATCCATCCATCATCCATCCATCATCCATCCATCATCCATCCATCATCCATCCATCCATCCATCATCCATCCATCATCCATCCATCCATCCATCATCCATCCATCATCCATCCATCCATCCATCCATCCATCATCCATCCATCATCCATCCATCCATCCATCCATCATCCATCCATCATCCATCCATCCATCATCCATCCATCAATCCATCCATCCATCATCCATCCATCCATCATCCATCCATCATCCATCCATCCATCCATCATCCATCCATCCATCCATCATCCATCCATCCATCCATCCATGATCCATCCATCATCCATCCATCATCCATCCATCCATCCATCCATCATCCATCCATCCATCCATCCATCATCCATCCATCCATCATCCATCCATCCATCCATCCATCCATCATCCATCCATCATCCATCCATCCATCATCCATCCATCATCCATCCATCCATCCATCCATCATCCATCCATCCATCATCCATCCATCATCCATCATCCATCCATCATCCATCCATCATCCATCCATCCATCATCCATCCATCATCCATCCATCATCCATCCATCAATCCATCATCCATCCATCCATCATCCATCATCCATCCATCCATCCATCATCCATCCATCCATCCATCATCCATCCATCATCCATCCATCATCCATCCAGCCATCATCCATCCATCCATCATCAATCCATCATCCATCCATCATCCATCCATCATCCATCCATCATCCATCTATCCATCCATCATCCATCCATCCATCCATCCATCCATCCATCCATCATCCATCCATCCATCCATCATCCATCCATCATCCATCCATCATCCATCCATTCATCCATCCATCCATCCATCCATCATCCATCCATCCATCCGTCATCCATCCATCCGTCATCCATCCATCCATCCATCATCCATCCATCCATCATCCATCCATCATCCATCCATCCATCCATCCATTCCATCCATCCATCATCCATCCATCCATCCATCATCCATCCATCCATCCATCATCCATCCATCATCCATCCATCCATCCATCATCCATCCATCATCCATCCATCCATCCATCCATCCATCATCCATCCATCATCCATCCATCCATCCATCCATCCATCCATCATCCATCCATCCATCATCCATCCATCATCCATCCATCATCCATCCATCCATCCATCATCCATCCATCATCCATCCATCCATCCATCCATCATCCATCCATCATCCATCCATCATCCATCCATCATCCATCCATCATCCATCCATCATCCATCAATCCATCCATCCATCATCCATCCATCATCCATCCATCCATCCATCCATCATCCATCCATCATCCATCCATCATCCATCCATCCATCATCCATCCATCCATCCATCCATCCATCCATCATCCATCCATCATCCATCCATCCATCCATCATCCATCCATCATCCATCCATCCATCCATCCATCATCCATCCATCATCCATCCATCATCCATCCATCCATCCATCCATCCATCATCCATCCATCCATCCATCATCCATCCATCATCCATCCATCCATCATCCATCCATCCATCATCCATCCATCATCCATCCATCATCCATCCATCATCCATCCATCATCCATCCATCCATCCATCATCCATCCATCATCCATCCATCATCCATCATCCATCCATCATCCATCCATCCATCAATCCATCATCCATCATCCATCCATCATCCATCCATCCATCATCCATCCATCCATCCATCCATCATCCATCCATCATCCATCCATCATCCATCCAGCCATCATCCATCCATCATCCATCCATCATCCATCCATCATCCATCATCCATCCATCATCCATCCATCATCCATCCATCATTTATCCATCATCCATCCATCCATCCATCATCCATCCATCCATCATCCATCCATCATCCATCCATCATCCATCCATCCATCCATCATCCATCCATCCATCATCCATCCATCCATCCATCCATCATCCATCCATCCATCCATCCATCATCCATCCATCATCCATCCATCCATCATCCATCATCCATCATCCATCCATCCATCCATCCATCCATCCATCATCCATCCATCCATCCATCATCCATCCATCCATCCATCCATCATCCATCCATCATCCATCCATCATCCATCCATCCATCCATCCATCAATCCATCATCCATCCATCATCCATCATCCATCCATCATCCATCCATCATCCATCCATCCATCCATCCATCATCCATCCATCATCCATCCATCATCCATCATCCATCATCCATCCATCATCCATCCATCATCCATCCATCCATCATCCATCCATCCATCATCCATCCATCCATCATCCATCCATCCATCCATCATCCATCATCATCATCCATCCATCATCCATCATCCATCCATCCATCCATCCATCATCATCCATCCATCATCCATCCATCATCCATCCATCCATCCATCCATCATCCATCCATCCGTCCATCATCCATCCATCATCCATCCATCCATCATCCATCCATCATCCATCCATCATCCATCCATCATCCATCCATCCATCATCCATCCATCATCCATCCATCATCCATCCATCATCCATCATCCATCCATCATCCATCCATCATCCATCCATCATCCATCCATCATCCATCATCCATCCATCATCCATCCATCATCCATCAATCCATCCTCAATCATCCATCCATCCATCCATCATCCATCCATCCATCATCCATCCATCATCCATCCATCATCCATCCATCATCCGTCATCCATCCATCATCCATCATCCATCCATCATCCATCCATCATCCATCATCCATCATCCATCCATCATCCATCCATCCATCATCCATCCATCCATCATCCATCCATCATCCATCCATCATCCATCCATCATCCATCCATCATCATCCATCCATCCATCCATCAGCCATCATCCATCCATCATCCATCCATCATCCATCATCCATCCATCATCCATCCATCCATCATCATCCATCCATCATCCATCCATCCATCCATCCATCATTCATCCATCATCCATCCATCCATCCATCATCCATTTATCCATCCATCCATCATCCATCCATCCATCCATCCATCATCCATCCATCCATCCATCATCCATCCATCATCCATCCATCCATCCATCATCCATCCATCATCCATCATCCATCCATCATCCACCATCCATCCATCATCCATCCATCCACCATCCATCCATCCATCCATCCATCATCCATCCATCCATCCATCATCCATCCATCATCCATCCATCATCCATCCATCCATCATCCATCCATCATCCATCCATCATCCATCCATCCATCCATCAATCCATCATCCATCCATCCATCATCCATCATCCATCATCCATCATCCATCCATCATCCATCCATCATCCATCCATCATCCTTCCATCATCCATCCATCCATCATCCATCCATCCATCATCCATCCATCCATCCATCATCCATCATTCATCATCCATCCATCCATCCATCCATCCATCCATCCATCCATCCATCCATCCATCCATCCATCCATCCATCCATCCATCATACCCAAACACCTAAAGACAAGTTAAAACATCAATTAACCTCAAATGTTTTTCTTATTGATCTCAAAATGTGTGTCAGGTTCTGTAGCTAAAGCTAGAGATAGAGAAGCTAGAGCAGCATAGCTCTTTGTTCCTTAAGGACAAATTTAAAGTAGAAGGTGTCTGATTTATATATTGATAATTCAGAATGACAGTACAGTGAGTAAATCAGGAAGTATGTCTGTAAACCTCCATCTATGAGGTTCTTTCAGATCCTGAAAGTCCAGACTGGGTAAAATAAAACATGAGCATTTATAGGATATACTTTACATCTGCTCTTCTCAATGAAACAAAGTAAATTCTTTAAATATTCCTGATCCTAACACATCTTGTTAAACAGATGTTTTTTTAATAAAGCAGAAATCTTCATTTCTTTCTATCGGCCATCAAATGTTGTCCTTAATATTTGCCATAAGTGTTGCATTAGCTTCCAAGTTTCCTTTTAAGCTCTGCATCGCTGTGGCCATGAGGTGCGTCTCCCACTGCCTCCCCTTTGTCTTCATACCACCATAGGCTGATCTGCAGTAAATAAAGGAAGAGAGCTCATTGTGTTCTTTTCTCTTGTGTTCCTCATCTTCTCTGGATCCTCACCTTCCATCCTCTCCTGGCTGCAGTCCCTGATCTTTGATGAGGTGGACCTATCAGACGCCAGCGTCGCAGAGTCCAGCACAAAGAATGTCAACAACAGCTTCACAGTGAGTGCTCCTTCATGACTTTTCATGACTTTAAAAGACATTTCATCCCAGCGCTGCGTGTACCGAGCCCGTGACATCATCAATGACCCCTCACCCCGCCACCATGGACTGTTCTCCCTGCTGCCCTCTGGGAAGAGGCTTCACAGCATTCAATGCAGGACCAGCAGGTTCTGCAGCAGCTTCTTCCCCACCGCCATCACACTGATGAATGTTTTGTGGAATGGGTTATTTTATTTATAAAAAAAAAATAATAATTAATGTCAGAACTGTAAATATACAGTCATATGTTTATATTAATGGTTTTGATGTATTTTTTACTGTTTTCAAGGCTGAACTTTAAAAATGGAGAGCTGTTCTTAACATAATTTAATTTTGTTTACATTCGCGTACACAAAAAGACAACATAAATAATAAGTCTAAGACTTAAAGGAGAAGTCCGCTCATCAAGGAATAATCAATGGATCATTATTTAGACCTAAAACTAAAACGTTTACAATGATTTAATGAATTTAGCGTTAATCAGTAAAGAAATAAAAACAGTCATTTTCATTGCGATCACTGAGTCTGGGAGCGGCCATTTTACCCCAAATATAGTAACCCCTCCCTCCTGCCATCTTCCAGCAGTGACGTCACGGTGCGGTAAGCCTAGCGCCATTCTCCCCGCTTTCCAAGCTAAATCAATGGGAACTACTAGACACATCTGCAATCAACAACAATTATTGAAGATTTCCAGAGGACTTCACCACTGAAATTCACCAGAGCTATAGTGAAACTGACAATGCCCACGTGCATGGCAGCTGGATGCTGGAATACATCGGGTAAAAGTGAAAAAAAGAGTTATTCCACCTTTCTGATTCCTGATCCTCCACGGACGGGTTGGTCGTTGGATCGCCAACTTGAAGAGGGAGGATTTGCCATCGAACTTCTGGCCAGAGAAAAAACCCGTAATATGTAGCCAACATTTGGAAGAAGAATGTTTTCAAGATGACTTGGATAATAGCGCGTTGTGACAAACACCAGATACAGCACTGGGACTTGATCAACAGCCGATACCGCACCGTGACAATGTCACTAACCAGTAGGTGGCAGTAGTGTTCTTTGACAAACATGGATGCCTCCAGTAAAGCACATTCACATGAAAATTACTCTGAATTAATAACACTGATCATTTATTGAACAGGATGGAATCATTTCAGATTTAAAGAACTTTCAGAAGTTTGAATTCTGAATATGAGCGACTTTTCCTTTAATGCTGACCTTCACACCAGCCGTGACGACAGGCACAACCAAGTCAACCCTTCTCTAACGTTCTTCCATCTTGGTCTGCTGTTTTCCTCTGGAAGGTTTGGCTCTCTAACGTCGCAGTCAGTGGAAACTTTACATAAAACAGCAGCTTCCTTTAAATCCTGTTTGGTTTTCTTAACGATGCCTCAATCAAACTATTAAAGTCGTTTCTCTTCCCACTATCACCAACCTCTGATCTGCAGACCATTTATTTTCTCCCTAAGAAAATAGATATTTAACAGCTAAGATGCTAAGCGTTGAAAAGTATTGATGTAGGGAATAAGTAGAATCCTCATCCGCTGATTTTCAGCTACAGTAACCAGGTTTTTAAAAATATAACCTGCGTATCAAAGGTATGACGTCTGTAGATTGGAGCAATGCAGCCAAACAGCAAACCTCAAAACAAACGTATCATGGTAAACCCAGTTTGTTTTGTTTTTCTAGAATCTTTGAGAATTTGAAGCCTAAAACCAGCTTCTTCAGATTGGTGTTTAACTGGTTTTAGGTAGTAAAATGTTGCATGCATGATGTGTTTTATCTGCTATTTTAAATCTTGAAGTACTCTGGAGTGTTTAATGCAGTTTACGCAGTTTTTCCGACACACTGACTGTAAAGCAAAAGCCTTGATTTACTGTAAAACATGTAAACAGAGCGTCCTGCCCTGAGCAGTAATAACACGTCAATGAACAAAAGCAACATAAGTAACATAAGTTTCCCACTTTCCTTGGCTGGTCCTTGGATGGTCCTTGGATGGTCCTTGGCTGGTCCTTGGATGGTCCTTTGCTGGTCCCTGGATGGTCCTTTGCTGGTCCTTGGCTGGTCCTTTGCTGATTCTTTGCTGGTCCTTGGATGGTCCTTTGCTGGTCCTTGGCTGGTCCTTTGCTGATCCTTTGCTGGTCCTTTGCTGGTCCTTTGCTGGTCCTTGGCTGGTCCTTGGCTGATCCTTTGCTGGTCCTTGGCTGGTCCTTGGCTGATCCTTTGCTGATCCTTGGCTGGTCCTTGGCTGGTCCTTGGCTGGTCCTTGGATGGTCCTTGGATGGTCCTTGGATGGTCCTTTGCTGGTCCTTGGCTGATCCTTTGCTGATCCTTGGCTGGTCCTTGGCTGGTCCTTGGCTGGTCCTTGGATGGTCCTTGGATGGTCCTTTGCTGGTCCTTGGCTGATCCTTTGCTGATCCTTGGCTGGTCCTTGGCTGGTCCTTGGATGGTCCTTGGATGGTCCTTTGCTGGTCCTTGGCTGATCCTTTGCTGATCCTTGGCTGGTCCTTGGCTGGTCCTTGGCTGGTCCTTTGCTGGTCCTTGGATGGTCCTTTGCTGGTCCTTGGCTGGTCCTTGGCTGGTCCTTTGCTGGTCCTTGGATGGTCCTTTGCTGGTCCTTGGCTGGTCCTTGGCTGGTCCTTTGCTGGTCCTTGGATGGTCCTTTGCTGGTCCTTGGCTGGTCCTTTGCTGATTCTTTGCTGGTCCTTGGCTGATCCTTTGCTGGTCCTTGGATGGTCCTTTGCTGATTCTTTGCTGGTCCTTGGCTGGTCCTTGGCTGGTCCTTTGCTGGTCCTTGGATGGTCCTTTGCTGGTCCTGTGCTGGTCCTTTGCTGATTCTTTGCTGGTCCTTTGCTGATTCTTTGCTGGTCCTTGGATGGTCCTTTGCTGGTCCTTTGCTGGTCCTTTGCTGATTCTTTGCTGGTCCTTGGATGGTCCTTTGCTGGTCCTTGGCTGGTCCTTTGCTGATTCTTTGCTGGTCCTTGGCTGGTCCTTTGCTGGTCCTTTGCTGATTCTTTGCTGGTCCTTGGATGGTCCTTTGCTGGTCCTTGGATGGTCCTTTGCTGGTCCTTGGCTGGTCCTTTGCTGGTCCTTTGCTGATTCTTTGCTGGTCCTTGGCTGATACTTTGCTGGTCCTTTGCTGATCCTTGGCTGGTCCTTGGATGGTCCTTGGCTGGTCCTTGATGGGTCCTTGGCTGGTCTCCTTCAATTCCTTTTTAAACATAAATCTTTATTCTGAAATATTCTTTCTGTCATGATTTGTGGACATTAAGATCTAAAGAGAAGCGCCATCTCCTGGTCAGACCCTGTAATTCAGTGGAAGGGTGGAATGGGGGTCGTTTGGCTTCTTTGTTAGCCTGCAATGCCGCATACCTGTCTATGACTCTGAAAGGGGGGTCGTTAGAGGGAATTGTTAGCCTGGCTGATTAGGGGAGGTCTTCTGTCCCCTGTAGGGGGTTGGGGCTGCGATGATAGAGGGAAGGGATTAATTGAATTGCTGCGTTGTAGATTTTTCCCGCTATCATCAAAACCAGCCATTTAGAATTGAAAAAGCTTCCTGGATGGAAGAGAAACGTCGTCAAACTTGGAAACAAAGTCCAGAGGATTGTTTTTTTTCTCCTTTTACTTTTCTGGAATTACTATGACCTGGATGACTGAGAATCTTCACCAGTATGTGAGGCTTTATGTTGCCCGCCATATTCTCTGTGTGAGGACATCAGATGTCCTTCCCTCAGTCTCTGCGTCCTCAGAGGGTCTCTATGAGGACACTCAGGGTTGTGCAAACTTAGTTTCATGCTTCTCAGCAAGACTCTGGAGGACAAGGCTGATCGTTGTGTCTGTCGGGACCTGCAGGGAAATCAGGAACGTTATGAGCTAAATAGGACTGAAAGTGAAATAGTCTGTGGTTCCCTCTGCTTCCTATAAATGACTCTTCCTCCCCAGGGGTGTTGCTATAAAAAGAAGTGAAGGGGAGGAGGAGGAGGAGGAGGAAGGCTTGGGAGCAGCGCCCTAAGGGGAGCATGTGGCTATTTTTAGCAGCGCCTTGAAACGCTTCGCTGAGTGCCTACGTGTGCCTGCTTTATGAGTGATATGACAGCGATATGATGTTAAAGGAAACAAATATCCATGGATGTTTTATCATGGAGCTTCAGAAGTTATGTAAAGGTTAAATAAACGGGGGGGGGGGGGGGTTCCAAAGATCCAGAGACAGAATAAAAAGCAGAAACATTGAGGCTGAAGAGATTCCAGGCGGCGCTTTAAGACTGCAAAGACAAACAGAGCGAAAGGTCGGCCAGCAGAGGAAATCCTGGAGTGATGTCACTGTGCCGCTGACTGCATTCGCACACACGCTCCTTTGAGGGGGGGGGTGGGTCTCCAGCCAGAACGGGAGCGAGCGGCAAGGAGAGGCAGAGAGAGGACAGAGGCAGAGGAGGAAGAGGAGCGGGGAAATGATGCAGACTGAAGCAGAAAGGTAACGTTGTTCACCTGCTGCTGTTTCTATGGGTTTACAGTCAGCGAGCGCGGCTGCTCAGCTGTCCGTCCGTCCGTCCGGGGCGTCCTGCCCCCTCAGGAGGACGGCCGAAGCCGCCGGTGCTGCTGGGTGGAGGAGATGGTAGAATCCATGGAGCCACACCGGCTTCATGCTGTCTGCGCCGTAGCGAGGTCTGAGATGAAATCCTCCACCTGCAGCCGTTTTATTTAGCAAAACAAACTCATCCAGCATGCAGGCTGCTGCACTCTAATAGATGCTTCGATTGGTTATTAATTTGGTTTAAACCTTTGGATAAAATGTTCAGCCACATCTACTGTTTATTAGAACATGAAGCCTCATTTAAGCTTTACTGAGATTAAAAAAGAGCTGCGGTGTTTGTTTGGAGGGTTGGTTGTAGATGGAGCACCTTGAGCTCCACGTGAGGAAGCACTCAGAGGTGGCAGGAGAGCCCCTCCTCTCTTTAGCAGCA